TTCCCTGTATCTATGCATTTGTTTCTGTTTATTTGTTCATTTTTACTTTGTTTTTTAGATTCCACATGTAAGTGAAATCATATGGCATTTGTCTTCCTCAGTCTGACTTATTTCACTCAACACAATGCCCTCTAGGTCCATCCATGTTGATGCAGATGGTAAGATTTCAGTCTTTTTTATAGCGGAGTAATATTCCATTGTATATATGCACCACTTCTTTTTTATTCACTATTCTGTTGATGGGCACTAGGGTTGCTTCCATATCTTGGCTATTGTAAATAATGCTGCAATGAACATAGGGGTGCATATATCTTTAAAAAATGGTGTTTTGGATTTTTTCAGATAAATACCCAGAAGAGAGATTGCTAGGTCATATGGTAGTTCTATTTTTAATTTTTTGAGGAATCTCCTTATTGTTTTCCATAGTGGCTGCACCCATTTGCAATCCCACCAACAGAGCACAAGGGTTTCCTTTTTTCCACATCTTTGACAACACCTGTTGTTTGTTGATTTATTGATGATAGCCATTCAGACAGATGTGAGGTGACATATCATTGTGGTTTTACTTTGCAGCTCTCTGATGATTAGTGATACTGAGCATCTTTTCATATGTCTACTGGCCATCTGTATGTCCTCTTTGGAGAAATGTCTATTCAGGTCCTCTGCCCATTTTGGGATTAGTTGTTGAATAGTCTTCTAAGATAGTATCACTCACTTATCAATCCATATTTTCTTAATGCTTCTCTGCTCACTCTACATGAGTAGCTTCGTCAATTGCAACACTCTAAGGCACCATTTCATAAGTGCGAGCAGTAAGTTATGGGCAACCTAATAAATTCAGTATCTACATTGTTCCTTCCATAGAGTTCAATATGTTGACTGATTATGAAATAATCTTCATGCTTTCCTTCAGTCTTTAAATGTAATACTTATGAGTTTAATCAAGGAGTCAAAAGAGACAGTTGAGACAAAAAAAATAACAAAATAGTATCAAATACTAACATTTCCCATTCTCTGCTAAGTCTTGTCTTATCTGAAGCTTGTAAAGTTGTTTAATCTTTTCCATCCTCTCAGGGTAAAGAGAGCCTGGAAAATCCTAATCACTCAATAGTAACTGTCAATAGTATTTTCCATAACTATCTGAATGCAAAATAAAAATCTTAAGAAGTTGATCCAATTCTAAAACTTACTTCTCAACTTACTAATAAATATGAAGAGACAACCCATCCATATTTTCTTCAAATAACATCTGGTTTCTTGGCCAGACTGCTAATACATGAAAAAGTTCCTGAGTTTGTTCCAACCAATCTACATTTAAAAAGCTTTAAAATGTATCTATGCATTAAACATTCTTTTCTACATCCGACTTAGGGCCAGAGATGGGACTGTGAGATAGAACCCTGCCAAGAAATTGGAAAGAGGGGGAATAAAATTATCTTCTAAAAGTTAAACTGTGCAACCAACACTTGATGGATCAAGGGCAGGAAATAAGAAATCACCACATGGAACAAAAAAGCTTCCAGGCCAGCAAGACTTGGCTGTGACTCCACTAAAGATACAACACACACACACATAAAGACCATATCCGTCCGTCATGGAGTCATAGAGGAAGAAAGGTTGCTATGACAGACCTGAGTAAGACCCGCCAAGGCTCTGTGCAGAGTCGGGGGAACCTGGACTAGCAATGAACCAGTGACAAAGCATGTCTATAGTGAAAATGAATGCACCACTTTATCTTAGCCTGATTACTCTGAGCTGGCTTGTGTTATTCGTGATGGAAAGCTCAATATTGAGCTTACAGCCTAGCCTAGAGCAGGCAATCATTAGATCCAATGAATTTGTTCCAACTCTTTGCTCACAATCTCCTGATTATAATTTGGCTCCCACACAGTTCGGCCTACAGGGAGAGAATTCTCAATTCTTGTGGATTTGAGAATCCTGGCCCCCATGCCGACTACAGCACTCATTGAAATATACAGTTTAGCATTTGGATTTGCTTAATCAACTCAGCTCCCAAAGGAAGGGCCCTGGGGTGCCCTGAGGGATCAGGTTTCTGAGCTCACAGGGCTGGCAATGAGTCGCTGGGCCATGGTCAATGCACCAGGATGGTGATGATAATGGTGGTGACAGGGACAGCATGGCCATGTGCTGAGCAACCTCTGTGTCAGACACTGCACTATGTGCTTTTCACACTTGAACTCTTTTAATCCCACAACAATCCAATAAACTAGGCATAATTACTATTACCATTTTATAAATGAAGAGCCTAAGATTAAGAAAGCTTTAGTAACTTACCCAGAAACCCACATTAGGAATCTGGATTCAGACCCAGATTTGTCTGACTCTAAAGCTTAATCTCTTAAAATTTTAAAACACGATCTCAGAGTAAGCCCTATCCTTCTCTGGGCCACACTCTTCTCTGCTTCTACTGTGTGCTTTGGGCCATCCAGTTCATCTTCAACATGACTATTCATCAATACACCACTACTGTACCAGCCTTCACATCAATGCACATGAAGCATAGCAATCAATCCTTAACTAGAAGCGCAGAAGGTCAAACCCTATCTCAGTGAACAGCATCACCATTTATTCCATGCCATCATATGTTACCTTCAGAAGCCAAATGATGCTTCCCTCTCCATCACCACTTTAGCCACACACTGTCTAATCATTTGCATGTCCTCCAATAAACCTCTTCAACACTTCCCTATTGTGTCCACTTCTCACTGTCACCGTTGCCATTACCTGTCTTTCACCTAGACCTCTACAAAACTCTCCTAGGGCATGCTCTTGCTTCTACTCTTGCTCTCCTTCATTCTCAACCTTGCATCTAATGATCTCAATATTATCCAATCATGCCATGCCACTGTTTAAAAATCCTTCCGTGGACCCCCAACCTCTCATCATACTCTGTGCTTCAGTCCTAACAGTGATTGGCCTGCAGTTCTCAGAATATACTCAGTCATGTCTGCTCTAGAATGGCACACAAGCTGGACCTGGGATACACTCGAATCCCCCTGAACCATTGTTCCCTCCACACCTCCTCTGGTCAGCTTATACAGGGGCTTTAGGACTCACTCATGTTTCCCCTTCTCCAGGACACCTGGGTTAGGTGCCCATCTGAGGCACTCTCATCATGCAAACCATCCCTCCTCTCCCTGTATGGAAATTTTTTATGTGTGTGATTCCACCCCCAGACTGTCCCCCCTGAAGCCTGTTTACACACAGTGCCCCCACACACAAACACAAATGCATGTATAATAAGTGAATAAATGAACAAACAAATGTATAGCACAGATGGAAAACTCCAGCCCTGCTTCCTCAAGTTCAGTTGTGTGACTTAAAGGTGTTTTGTCTCCCTAGACCTCAGCTTCTCCTGAACAAACAAATGTATAGCACAGATGGAAAACTCCAGGCCTGCTTCTTCAAGTTCAGTTGTGTGACTTAAGAAAGGTGTTTTGTCTCCCTAGACCTCAGCTTCTCTATCTGTAAAATAAGTATCATAAATCCTATACTGTCAAGGTCTTGTGAGATTTAAACCAAACCATACAATACATGTAAAGTCCTCAGCACCATGCTTGGTATGGAGCAGGTGCTCAAATGCTGGTTGTTACTATTATTATTACTATGTCCTTGGAGACCTACCCAAAAACATTCATGTTCTTGAAAGGCCTCACAGATATTCCCAGACCCTACCATGACTCGGCCACTCCAGGCCTTCTAGCACTTCCGTTTTACATTTTATAATGCATCAGCTTGCACTCCTGAATGTACTGCTTTGAAAGGATCCCATACTTTCTCCACGAAGCCTAATACTCAACAAAAGCTTTTAGGTGAAATGGCATCAAGATTTGCTACAGATCGTATTCCCTGCTGGAGCCTTAGCCCATGGACATTCACATGGCACCTCCTGATGATGCAAATGCGACACAGAAAAGCTAGCATAACCCTGAGAGGAACACAGAGAAATGGAAAGGCTGTGGAATTGACAGGTGGCAATCCCAAAATAGAAACCAAGGCTTAAAGGGGTCATAACTAAGACCAGGTCTCAGAAAGGGGATGTCCTTTATCACAACAGATATGGAAAGGTGAATTATAGACCAGCGGTTTAAAAGAAATTTATGCCATAGCCCTTCCATGGAATTATGCAGCCCTTAAAAATAGATAGGGGGCCAACTAATAACATGGCAAATAAAAACACATAAGACCTCATGTTATATAAAAAAAAAAAACATACAGATAATACAGGTTTTTGATCACAGGATGTAAAATGTAAGGGAATAAACCAAAATTTTAATATTTGTAACAGGGTAATGAATTCCTGGGCCTTGTTTTTCTTCGGTCAACTCCCCACACTATTTGTAGTGTCAGATCCTTTAAAATGTAAAGACTCCCCCTGGCCAGGTGGCTCAGTTAGCTGGAGCATCGTCCTGTACCCCAAAAGGTTGTAGTTGGATTCTGGGTCAGGGCACAGACCCAGATTGCAGGTGCAAGCCTGGGTCAGGGTGCATAGGGGAAGCAATGGATCCATCGATGTTTCTCTCTCTCCCTTCTTCTCTCCCAAAAATAATAATAACAATAAATAAGTAATCAATAAAAACATATTCTCAGGTGGGGGTTATAAAAAAAGGTAAAGACTAATTCTTTAAAGATCTATGTTCTGGGTGCCTCTGTCGCAGATTGCTCCAGGAAGAAATTGGGCAGAAGACAGGCCCTAGGCCGAAGAGGGCTCCAAGAGCCTGGGGCCTGCCAGGTAGTATGATCTCGCTCCCGCCAGGCTCCCTCTTCACTGGCCACCGCCCCTCGGAGCCTCATTTAGTGCCCTCCAGCCGGCAGCCCCCCGGTGGGCCCAGTCCTCCACCCAACCCCAACCGGATCTAGGCTCCTGGCAAAGTTTCTCTTTGGTAGAAAGGAGGCGCCGTGAGCAGCTGGAAATCCGGCGTCAGAGAGCAGCCCCCCGAAGCCTGACCCCACCCGGCCGCCCCCCGCGCCCCGCGTACCTCTTGCAGGGGATCAGCGCCTTCCTCTCGTCCAGCACCCGCA